AGAGAGAGAGAGAGAGAGAGAGAGAGAGAGAGAGACAGAGACAGACAGAGACAGAGAGAGACAGAGAGAGACACAGAGAGAGACAGAGACAGACAGAGACACAGAGACAGAGAGAGGAAGTAAAAGCTGGCTAGAGAAGAGATACATACAGGGAACTTGCCCAGGCCCCTCCTATGGAAGGAAAAAGATCTTCAATAAGGAAGGCAAAAATCTATGTTTAAAAAAAAAATTATCTACTGTGAACTTTAATTATATTAGATATCAAATAAAATAACGTTTCATTTCTTGACATTACTGTCAAGAACAAAAACCTCGCCAAACCAGCTGCTTTCTGGCTATTCTCCTGATTAAGGACCACACTTGTCAGTTTGGACTCAACCACCCTCCATGGCACACAGGCTGATGGGAAGCAGAATTCACCCTGCCCCATAGACGTGAGGACATTTACACACACCCTTCCAGCTTCTTTGCAGATCGAACCCAGGCATGTGAACCAGGCTTGGCCAGTTTACAAATACTTTCCACAGTTTTCAATTCTCCTGGCCTAGTCCTAAGCCCCCTCTCTTCCAGATGAACTTTTATATCAATTTTATGCCGTGTTAGAAAAAAAGAAGCATACAGAATGTTTAAGGAGGTCACAATGTCCTGTATGACACTACAATATATCTCTCTACACCACAGGATGTCTGTAACTACAAATGGGTCCTGATGTAAACTATCTTTGCATCACTGGGATTGCCAGCGGGACAAATATGGCAAATGAAACACTCCGGTGTGGCTGTTTTAACAGGAGAAGCCGTGTGCATTGGGGGAAGCTGCTATACCTTCTAGCCAACTTTTCTGTGAACCTAAAACTACCCCTTTTGAAAACTTAAAAAAAAAAAGTCCCCCAAACCAAAAAGTTGGGATGCATGCAGGGTTAAGATCAGATGAAGCGTATTTGGAGGCCCAGGGTTTGATCCCCAGGACTACAAGAATCAACAACAAAAGTGGAATTTCATCATGGAGTAAAAGAACTATACAGATAATTTTAGGAGAACTAGTTGGCTTAAAATAATAAATATGTATGTGTATGCATATATACTCAGGAATTTAATAATTACTTTTATTCAGTCAAGTCTTGAGTCACCAATACAGTTTTATCATTTATTTCGATATATAGCTTACACATTTATCATTTATGATTTTTGCTGTTACAACATGGAACATATTCCTTTTCTCTAGAGAACAGAGGCTGGCTTCCTCTGCTGGTTTAATATGCACTCAAACTCTTGTTAGGTTCTGATCTTACATCAGATATCCCTGACTGGAGAATACAGCAGTTAGTTCATTTTAATAACAGTTTAATAAGAGTCGCATGAAAATCATCTGGTAAGATAGGTCAGGTGAAATCAAGAAATTTGGTGGTAGGTGGCAAACCTCTCTGAAGAGCTTTTGTTTCCTTGTTTTAAATCAAGACTCTGCCATGAAAACGGAGAAAAAAAATAGATGTCTTGGTCCAACATGCCCTTCTACTGTGGCTAAATACTGATTTTTTTAAAATTACATTGATACATGTATAGTGTGTGTGTGTGTGTGTGTGTGTGTGTGTGTGTGTGTGTGTGTGTGTGTGTGTCCATCCGTCCGTCCGTCCGTCCATGGGGTCCACACATGGGGATAAAAGGACAGCCTTTAATGTATTTATTATTTAATTCTCTCTTTGCAGAAT